CCGCTGGGGAAGCCCACGTCTGAATAATATGCTGCTCCTGGGGACCTTTACCAAGAATGACAGAGCACCCAGCACTCGAGTTACTCAAAGGAGCCGATGGGTCGAAGGGGGCCTCCAAGACTAGGCGTCCCTGAACATATCGCCGAAGAACAACGCTCCCAGAAGATTGCTGCCTCCGATCCACCGCCTGAGTCCCAGATAACAGAATTAAGTCAAAGTTCGATGTCTCCACCACCACCTCTTCAAGCCTGTCGCCCGTACAAGACTGGGGGTTCCACCCCAATAAGCGAAGCTGCTGCTGTGCCATCACCGCCCTCAGAGGAGCGGCCGCAACTGGGGCATGTGTGGCCCCTTCACGATGTACGGTGAAAAAAAAGAATCTGCCCCTGGGAATGGAATCTCGATAGAAAGGGGCTAGGAGGAGGAGGAGGAGGAGGAGGAGGAGGAGGAGGAGGAGGAGGAGGAGCAGGAGGACAAGGGGGGCACCAGCGCCCAAAGAGCTCCAGGGCCGAACGCCCCAATGAGCAAAGCGCTCTCGTGGAAGCGCAGCGGCCTCCGGCAATCAGGCCCTCCTCTTGGTTGCGCCCGTCGCTGAGCGGACGCCCCGAGCAAGCCGCGGCCGCCTGCCGCCGCATGCCCGCTGGAGCGCACTGCCGGCCATCCTCCGCCCGACATACAAGCGCCTTATTCCTAGACGACACGGGCTGCGCTCATAGGCTGCGCTCATAAGCTCATAAGCCTCGGGGGCGACAAGGAGATACCAACGGCCGCTCCTCCTCCCCCTGCCCCTCCTCCTCCTCCTCCTCCTCCTCCACTTCCGTTCCTTTTCCTTATGAGTAACTCCTCCCTGTCGCACCCCGAGGCCAATCCAAAGGGCGTGCTAGGCATTTCGCGGGAGACTTCCTCGCCATTCAGGACCATGAAGCTTAGAAGCTGGCGACAGCTTCGCAGATGCAGTGCGGATCGCTTCCAAAATGTGGATATCGTTTTAGCGCCGCGCACACTCGTCTTAAAAAATTGCAAGAGCTTGACGGATTGAGGGAAGCCGTTTTCAAAATGTGGCTCTCGCCTTTTTGCACCTACTGTTTAAACAATCTGCGTAAGGGTCACGGATTGAGGGCGGGCCATTTTCAAAATGTGTTTATCGCCTTAGCGCCGCACGCACTCGTCTTCAACATGTGCAAGAATTTCACAGACTGGGGGCGGTTCCTTTTGAAACTGTGGCTCTCGCCTTAGCGCCGCGCCCATTTGCATTGAAGATTTGCAGGATGTTCGTGAATTCCCATGGGCAACGTACCAGAAATTACGGTTCGGAACGATTCAGGATCGCCAGGGTGCAACAGTTACGTTGATTCGCGGCGTTTGAATCCCAGGGATGGTGTTTTGGCACGGTTCAAAAATCAAGAAGCAACGATCAAATTGATTCGTGGCGTTGGAATCACGAGAACGGTGTTTTTGCACGTTTCAGGATCTTCAAACGGTTGCCTCCCAACAGGGCACTTCCCAACATAGACATGAATCCTTGTAGGGTCCTATGAAGGGGGAACTTGGAGGGAGGGTTCATTGCAACATCCTTGATGAGTCTGGGGTTTACACTGGTCCCCCTCCTCCTCCTGCTTATCCTCCTGCTCCTCCTCCTGCTCCTCCTCCTCCTCCTCTTACCCCCTTCCTTCTCCTCCTCCTCCTCCTCTTCCGCATCCTCTCCCGCCGCCGCCTCCTCCTCCTCCTCCTCCCTCTCCTCCTCCTCCTCCTCCTCCTCCTCCTCTTCCTCCTCCTCCTCTTCCTCCTCCTCCTCCTCTTCCGCCTCCTCCTCCTCTCAAGCACCGGCTCGAGGCTCTCCGTAGCACTTTGGCTTCCCAGCGAGCTCAGAGTCGTGTCCGACGCCGCAACGTGGCGCTCGGGTGGCACTGCGTCTTCACATGTGTCATTGGGTTGCAGATCGAGGTGGCGAAGGCGGACAACGAGTTGAGCAGGACTTGGCATTTGTTTCGTGTTCTACTTGTGGGAGATAAGTCGGGTCAGGTCCACCTTGGGCTGGGTCTTCCCCATCATCGGCTGGTCCCTGAACCTATGGCCTCTTTCTTTCCGCACGTGCTCACCAAGTTTTCTGGGGGTTCCAGCAACAAGCACCTGGTTCTTGGCTGAGCCTGGCCAGCGCAAGGCGAACGCTTTTTGGTGTCGGCTGAGCTTGGCCAGTGCAAGGTTTATTTTCTAGGCTATTCGTGGTCGGTGCTTTCTGTTGCATTTATTGCTGTTCAAGTTTGGGCCGTGGGCAGGTTTGGAGGAATGAAGCTGAGCATTTGGTAGTGGGCAATTGTTGTTCCCTTGTCTGGCTGGTGGTGAGGCAGTTCGTTGAGGAAGCGAGCTCAGTACCCGTACAGCGTACAAGTTTGTTCAGTTTAAAACTTGCCCAGTAACCTGCGGTAGGCCTCATTATGGACAGGGCCGTATCGAGTTGAATGCATATCTGCTTAGCTGACTGTCACTTAAGCGTGCAATGAGGCATGCGCTCTCTGTGTGCGAAGAGGGATTCATCAGAGGTGTGCGCAGCTGTGGTCTTCCTCCTATGGCTCCTGTTGCTTCTGTCTTTCGTCTTCCGGTTCCGCTAATTCTCCTTCGAATTCAAAGGGCGACCCGACGGTTCAGGGTCATTCTTGTGATAGCGGAATATCCAGGAATATCCTCCTCCTCCTCCTCTTCCTCCTCCCTCCTCCTCCTCCTCCTCCTCCTCCACCTCCTCCTCCTCCTGTTCCTCCTCCTCGTCCTTATCCTCCTCTTCCTCCTCCTCCTCCTCCCATTCCTCCTGCTCCTCTTCGTCCTCCTTCTCCTCATCATCAGCAGCATCACCAGCATCATCAAAATCATCAGCATCATCACCATTATCACCATCATCAACACCATCATCATCATCACCACCACCATCACCATCATCATCATCATCATCATCATCATCATCATTATCGTCATCGTCATCCTCCCCATCATCATTATCATCAGCATCATCATCAGCATCATCATCGTCATCGTCATCGTCATCATTATCATCATCATCATCATGTTCCTCATCATCCTCCTCCTCCTCTCCCGCTACCGTCTCTTCCTTCTCCTCTTCTTCCTCCTCCTGTCCTCCTCCTCCTCCTTCTCCTCCTCCTCTTCCTGCTCCTTCCCCTCCTCCTCATCCTCCTCCAATCACCAATGACCAATGCAGCACAATCGGTCTGTCGACCGCGGGAAGAACCCTGCACCTACCCCAGCTCAGTACATCATGATGTGTGGAACTTCCCCTTGTGGACGTAGCTATGCGTTGCAATTGCGGCGGACAAGATCTTTCAATATGCTGTTCCATCGACAGCTGTCTACGGCAACCGTCGTCCAGGGCTCGCCGGTATTCTCGAACAGCTTGTGCAACTGTGTTTTCCACCTCCAAGCACGGAACTTCCGGCCGTGTAATTGGTTGCTTCTGTTGGCAGCCATGACTCTCTGCAATCAAGCCCAATCTTTGTACCTCATCACCTGGTAGCTCAACCTGTTCGGGTCGTTGTTGCCGGCTCTCCGCAAATATCCTGCCCATGTGAATACTGCACGAAAGTAGTGGGTATCAAATTTTCGATATTCGTACTGGGCAGAGCCATCCGCACCCTCCTCTTTGTCCTGGGGAAGAAACTGTCGCGAAGTTCGCCAGGCCATGTTGCGCACCATGGACTGTTGAACGCCTCGTAGCTGAGATTGCTGGGCTTGCGTGAGTGTCCAACTTCCCGAACACTAGGACATAATGCTTTCTACCAGTATCTGCAGCAAGTGTAGCCTTCTTGCCCGAGGGGCTCTGTGGCAGCACCGAATGTTCTCATGCTTGAAGTAAAAAACGCAAAGCTTTATCGATGCGCGTGGAGATTTCCACGGAAAGAACAGCTTTTGCATGTGATCTGGGCAGCCAATGCCTTGAAACCGACATTCCGTGACGCTCTGGATATGTCCCGGCCGTGCGCGTGGACTCGATAAGGTTGGGTATCCTCGGCGATTGTGCACCAAATTGCTTCTTCGAGCGGCACGGACGACCTGTGCTCTGATAAAGGAATCAGTCGTCTCTCCATCATGATCAAAATCATGCCAGACGACGTGCCGAAGAGCCATAAGTTGTCAACATACAGGACGAGAGATACCCAGCTGACAACAAATAGCTACATTATGTACTTTCGTTCGCGACACCACTCAACGAAGATTTCGGCCGGCACGTCCAAAGCTGCATTGAAAATTGCTGGGGCAGCTGGGTCTCCTTGCAATAGCGACCTGCTTGTGACGATTGGCCCTGATTGCAAGGACTGGCTGAGCTCAAAGACCGTCCTGCCACGTCGAACTCCCCGGATCCATCCAGCAGTCAATCTACCAGGAGTCTTTTTTTTTGTGTCAGCCCTGTGATACAAGTCTGATGTCGTGTGCAGTCGCACGCCTTGTGGAGGAGGATGAAAACGTGCACCTGCCACTCGATCGCCTTCTCGATGGTATTCCTCTGGATGAACACCGGACCGTGTGCAGAGTAGCCGGCCCGGAATGCGAATTGCGGCGCCTTCAATGTACCTATCTCGAGACCAGCCAATGTTGGGAGCAACTTGGGGTAGAAATTGTGATAGACAGGTCTGCGTTTTCACCTCGCGAAACTCCCGGGGCAGCAGGGCATAAAGGGAACGCGCCCGCGTAAGCCCAACGCACCGAATTGGGGGAGGAGGAGGAAGAGGAGGAGGAGGAGGAGAAGGAGGAGGAGGAGGAGGAGGGGGAGGAGGAGGAGGAAGAGGAGGAAGAGGAGGAGGAGGAGGGGGAGGAGGAGGAGGAGGAGAGGAGGAGGAGGAGGAGGAGGAGGAAGGGGGAGGGAAGGAGGAGGGCGGCCGGCTCAGCCAGCCGCCGCCAGCATGGCCTGGCTATGCAGGCCAGAGGAGCCCCAGCGCGGCAGCCACCCCGAGGCGCTACGCAGCGGCACCCTGCGCGATACGAGCAAGGACACGCGCCCGGAGCGCGGCCAGGCGCCCACCCGCGGGCGGTGCGGAGGACGGCCGAGCTGCGGCCGCACGCGCGGCGCAGATGGCCAGCGTGGCCGCGTCGGCAGCGGCCGCCCGCATAGCCGAAGCCGCGCGAGCCGCGGCAGCGAGCTCCGCGCGGCGCGAACCCAGCGCGCGCGGGCGGCCGGCAGCCGCGGCCGCGGCGGGCGGCAGCGCGGCAGGTGGGGACAGCACCGCCGCGGGCAGCTGCGTCGCCGGCGGTGCGCGGCGCGGCTGGGCATCAGCACGGGCCAGCAGTCGCGGTCGCCGCACGGCGGCCGCGCCCCGTGCAGTGACCCGCCGGATGGCGCCGCCAGGCCCAACCGGTTCGCGGACGTGATTGTTGGCAGCATGCGCGACTGCTCCCAGGGCCGCCGCGTCGTGCGCCACGAGCGCCTGCTGGAAGAGCCGCGCGCTCTTGCTACACTGCGGCGGGCAGCCCGCAGCAGCCTTGCCGATGGTACCCACCGAGCGATTCGCTGGCCGGTCCACTGTTGCGACGACTACGCCGTCGGACCGCGCGGCAAAGCCGATGCTGGCCTGGGCCCCGTGCGCCGGAATCCACGCGAGCCTGCCAGACGCGACGAGCTCCGGGACGTCGCCGTCCAGGAGCGTGGCCACGCGTGACCATAATTAGCTGCGCAAGCGCGCGTAAGCTTGGCAGCCTGCGCCGTGCCAGCCGCGGCAACGGAGAGGATGGACTGGCAATCGGCGCGGGCGCGGAGCGGCGCGAGGGCAATGGTGAGCACGAGCGACACGGCCCACAATTCCGCCGCCGCCGCCGCGCGAACCTAGGAAGGAGGCACTGCGCCGCCGAAGGCCACGAGGTCACCGCGATCGGAGACGACCGCGATACCACATCCAGCGCGACGGATCTCCCAGAGCGGGCCGAACTTCATGGACCCATCAGCGTTCCAGACGAGGTCGTCGCGGGTCACGTCCGGCGGGTCGGTGAACCAGCGCGCGGCCACCTCTTCCTGCGCCGGGGGGTGCGGCATCCGAAGCGCGCGGAAACCGCGCGCGCGTAGGAGCGCGGCCCGGGCCTCCGAGATCGAGGCGCGCAGGTCCTGGCGCGCATCGGGCGGCCGTGGCCACCCGTCGGGCGGCAGCGACGACTCGCAGACACGGCGGTGCAAGTGCGCGCCCAGTGCCGCACCGCACAGCTGGCAAGTCCTGTCCTCGACGCCGTCGGCGTTCCGCAGCCTGGCCAGGCGGACCTGCGGCCACTGGCCGCCAGTGGCAGCGGACAGCAGCATCGATCCGCACTGTCCGGACCACTTCGGAACGGTGCGCGGCGGCCGCCCCTGGCCCTTCAGCAGGCGCGCGACGGGGCGCCCCACGAGGACCGCGAGGGAGTTCGCGCCCTCGGCTGGCGGCAAGTCAGGCGGGCCATCGGCGATGGTCGGCAGCACGGAGATTACACGCCGCGCCCGCCAGCTGTCGACAGATCTGTACACCGCAGCCGCCACCAAGGCAGGCGACATGAGGATGAAATCGACAGGGTCGCCGACGTCGTCCAAGAATCGCCGCGGGGAGGGGGCGCTGCAACCCTAGTCGCCGGACCGCGGCAATGACGGCAGCCGCCGGGCCAGGAACGGCAGCCCAGGGCGACCTGCCACTCGTCGTTGACGCTGCCAGTCGATGCCGCGACGCCTCGAAGGCGCTATCGAGGTCTAGCGCGGGCGCCCACTCCTGCCAGTAAGCCAGCCCACAATGGCAAAGCGGGGTGGCGTGGGCAGCGTGCGCCGAGTCCAAGGCGGCGCCTCCGGCATCCAGCACAGCGAAACCGACGTCGACCTGGCGGCTCGCGCCCGGCGGCAAACAGCTATGAGTCTGAAGTGCTGGATTGTGGTGGGTTTGGCTCGATTGTGAAACAGTCGGACACGCTGTTGTGTCCAGGAGTCATCATCATCATCTTCGTTTGGGTGGTTTAACATCCGCATTTTGAAAATCAGCGCCGTGGCATCGAAGACGTCGTCGTCAAACTCAAGCAACCTGTCGGCAACAATCCGGTCATCAGCGCAAGACCTTCCAGAAGCAAAAATCCATGCGACCTGCTTGACCAAAGATCCCGCGATCTCTGGCAATTTTTGAAGATCGCTCCACTCCCACGGCTTCCAAATCCAATCGGGCAACGTTGATTCGCTGACGTCCTCGAACAAGTGGCCGAAATAGTTCGTAATGTGTTCTTGGATCTTGTCGGCTGTCGTAGGTGACGCCCTCTGCGGTGTGATCGTGCAACCTCTGAACAGTAACCCTGCTTTTCCGTCTGGGCGCACATGCCGATACGCGGGCAGCGTTATCGCACGCTCGCAGCGCAGCGTTTGCTGTAGAGCCCGAATTGTGCGACGTTTGGGGCAAACCTCCCCAAGCAGTCTGTGTCTTTCCACCGGTCTCCGCTCTAGTCTCCGATCCCTTACAGCTGCCCGCAGCGCTCTAACCTATGGATGGTCATGTGGCAGTCTTGGTGGCGTTGTGCGTCTCGGCGCGCCGAATATGGACGCTGCGTTAGAGATGGTTTCTGTGATGTCTCTGAAGCACGGGATGGGCAGGCTGCCGGGACATATTCGCTCTTCAGATAACTGGAAAGAAATCAATTCTGCTTGACTTTGTCGCACTGGCTGTGCCGGGGGACGTCCTCGGAACCCTGTTTGGAAAGTCGCTGGGCTGGCAAGCTTCCAAATCTGGAGGGTGAGCCGGAAACTTTCTGGACTCCAATCGGTCGTGCCGTAGGGACGTGTCCACCGTTCGAATCGGTAATCTGTGTTGCCGCCCTTGTTGGCCAACTGGTCCGCGAGCTCATTGCCGAAGATCCTCTCGTGGCCTGGCGTCCGCCGTACTGCCACGACGAAGTGCTACTTGGCTTCGTTCAACAAGTGGCTTCGTTCAACAAGTGCACCAACAGCGCTGCCAAGGATACGTTTCCTCTTCCCCAAGCATGTTCTCAACAAGTCCCAGAACATATGATGAATCCGTATGGATAGGAATGCGTTTACCCTTCAATTGAAAGTCGTCGTCGTCGCCTGTGTGTCCCAAAAGGAACAGCAGGAACTCGATGAAAGCGCTCGTATCTGCAATGGTATTGGTCCTCCTGTATGCTCCCAGGTGGTACTTGGAGCCTGGCTGCGTAACGACAGGACCTTGAGCAACGAGACGTAATCTGGAATCGTCCACTGGAGTACCGCCAGCACCGAACACGGCGAAGCCCCACCCAGCATATGTATTATGTCTGGGCATTTTCTTGCACGATCCGTCCGTATAGATGTGTATGCAATTTCACTCGTCAGCCAAAAACTGTTCTGGTAATCCAATGTCTGCCCAGATGTAATTGCTGCGCCCGTGCGAAGTCAATATCTAATTCAGTGGGTTCGAAGGTCTATCCCGCGACCGGAATGCCCGTGCACGTCGTGAAGACTATGAGAGTGAGAACTGCACAGGTCTATGGTCAGCCACCGTCGCCGTTGAGTCCTGGGGCGCACATGCGACGACGCGGCGCGCCTGCATATTGGAACATACATAATCGATTTGCCTCGGCTCGCACCTCTCCGCACAGTAAGTAAAATCTTCTCCGCCGTTCGGGAACATGCTGTCATGAATGGCCAGGCCATGCTCCATGAAGAAGCGCACGAAGTCATCTCCTTTCCTGCCTCTGGGGCACTCGCAGTGTGTACCCAAAATGCGCGTGTCATCCTCGCAATTGTCCCAGTCAGTAGGCCCGATCCTGTCCTGAGCGTCCACGCCGACTACGACGGTAGACTTCTGTGCTTTAGCCTTGCCCAACAATATTGCTACATCGTCCAAATCATCAGCATATAAGTTAAATTCACCTGCTGGATCCAAGTGTGATCGCGCCCACAATCGTACAATTAGGGAACATGCTCGCCCCTGGCTGGAGAACGAGTCCACGTCCATCTGTTACGCTAATGTATGCCTGACATGCATTATCATCCTCCTCCTC